AACCCCACAGGGCTGATTGTGACAGACAGAAGTTCTTAAGTGTCTTTGATTGTTTCTATAACATCTGGAAAAGTCCGTTTAAGTTGAACTCTGTCGAGCTAAAGCTGCGACTCCGTTCATGTGCAGTCGTGTGCTGAAGTCTGATAACCCCAAACCATCTTCTTTTCATTTCACTCAGTGATTTCCATACAGCTGCGTCATCATTTCCTGTGCAGTCCACTTTTTTTTTTTCCTTTTTTTTCTCCCTCCCTCATCGCATGCAGTTATACGGAGGAGACTATTTTCCCCAGAAAAAAAAAAAAGAAAAAAGAAAAAGAAAGAAAGAATCAGTTTTCAGGCTGCACAGAGAGAAAGCGACACAGGCTCTGGTGAAGAATGGATCAGTGAGCAGAAACACTGCAGCAGCACTCAGACACTGGTAAGTTTTTCTCTTCTCACCTCATTAAATGCTGCGTTTGAATAGAAATCTAACAAGATTCCTACTTATTTTTAAAGTCAGTGACAGTATTTGCTGCTTGTTGAGATGCTTGTGAGCATAAGAGCAGAAACAGATCTCTGTTTAACTGATGGTCTAATTAACTAAACTGTGTCTAAAGCTGATCGCAGACACTGACTTTGATCGATGTTGGTTGACTGGCTGCTCCACTGTTTGATGTTTGGGGGGGGACAGACGGTAGCTCCTCTCAGCTTTTACTGCTGCATTTACAGCAGTCGGCCTACAGGAGGCGCCTCAGCCTTTGAATTTGATCCATCAGATAATCAAAGGCTTTTCCACTCATCTGTGCTTTTGTACTTCATGCCTCAACAAGCATCTGCTCTTTTCTTTTTTTTAAATGTCTTTACACAGACATGCAGGCCAACGTTAAACCAAATCTTCACCTTAAGTTGATTTTTGGGGTATTTGCTTTAGGCCCCAAATCGAGAGGCGTGTCCCCTCCATGTAAACACATTTATGTCCTCACAACGTAAAAGTACACAGAGTATGAGAGGTTACAGCACAACACTGCATTCTGTTTTCAAGGCTTCTGAGTCTGTAGTCGGACTGATGTTGTGGCGAAATGCAAAAAAACAAAAAAAGAAAAGTTTCCAGGAGATAAAGGAATGTCCTTGTGCTAAACTTTGCTCCTCGTTGTTCCACCAGGACAGCGTGTTGTGAAACTGTGGTAGAGCTTTTTTTATTTCTTTGTAAGACACGGTGCTACTGAGAGAATAATTTTCAGACTAAACATTCAAGTCCATATTTCTGTGTCATTAATCAAAGAGTGACCCGGTCAGTGGAGGATTACTGCATTACCATTATTCTATTACTTTATTTCCCCTTAGAGCGGCTGTGCATCACACGCTGACCTAACGGTCGGCGACGGTGCTGCGACTAGCTGGTCAGCACGTCAGTGGTGTTTCTGCATTAGTTTCTCTCTCAGATGGATGGTTTTAATATGAGCCACAACAGGTTGGAAACATGACTGGAGCTGTAAATTCTTGACGCTGCGATAAAGAAACGAGCCCAGGAGGGTTTTGCATGGGTTTGCATTCACATGTACAGTGCACACAAGGCTTCCTTCTGCAGGATGGAAGAACGAGACACAGCTTCGGTTTTAAAGAGGAGAGGATGTCTTTGCTCGACAAGTCGCGTCTTCTCCCTCTGCGCCGCCGTCAGGCTGTAGCTCACAGTGTTGACAAGACACGTCAACTTAATCCTGGAGTTTAAGAAGCAGCCTCGGGTCTGTTTCTGAAACCCGAGACCATGTTTATTGCACCCAATATATTTTTATGAAAAATGGAGCGGGTTAATGTGCGAGCGGCTCTCTTCTCCTTCGACCTCTTGAACCTCTGGAATGTCCCGAAGCTCAAAGAGAGGATCAGAGGTGAATTTTTGGAGTGTAGGTGGCAGAAGTCTCCCGGAGCTGTGGAATAATCCCTCTGAGTGTGTGAGGATTTGTGATTCACAGTTAGTAAACACAGACGAGGTTTAGTGATATTACAGGAGATAAACACTCATTCCCCTGTGACTGCAGGTTCAACAGGTGTACAGCATGGCAGAGCATGAGTAAGACTTCCAGCTCTGTGGTCAGTTTGAGATAATTCACGGGTTTTTTTGGGCCTAGAGGAGAATCCTTTCATGGCTGAAAGAATTCCACGTATGTATGCGAGTCTACGCTTTCATGCTTCCATGTCATGCAAGAAGAGGATGTGGCTTTAAACGAGAAGTCCAGATGGCACTGCGATCAGCGGAACAATGAATTCCACCAGTTTAAGCTTCGGTTACATTCTGGTAAAACATCCCACAAAACGCAGCCAGTGCCGCTGCCTTTTGTTGCTCAGACGATTTAAAGCGTTCTCAGGAAGGACGGTCTTTACGAGGCCTTGAAAGCTTTTTGAATGCGTCTCGGAGCGAAGCGGCACAGTGGCAGATCCGCGGGCTTCCTGCCGACTTGATGCTGCGAACTGCGATCGCGGATGTCTGGCTTTTGTGACTTCCTCTCTCCTCCCAGGCGTGCGGGATGATAAGACAGCCCAGGAGAACGAAGGGAGCTGGTTTTATGGATGACTAGTGCGTCTACGTTTGGTGTAAAAACGTTACAGAAAGATAACCATGAATGGCAAGAAAAGGATTTCTCTGGAAACCAGTAGGGGGGAAAAATGAATCATTGGACGCAGCTGACAAAACAAACCACCGTCCACTGTTTTTTGCTCGTTCTGGGGCTTTCGTCTTCTTTAGTGGATGACGTTTGCTCAGGTGACTCGGCGTCCAAATGGGTCAAAGTAGGTATCTTTCATGAAACAAAACTCCAATGAAATGAAATTAAATGCCACAAAAATGCAAATCTCATCAGCAATTTGTGCATCTTAGTCGCTCATCCCTCCTCCCGTCCCAGTACGCACAGTGCAGACACATTCTGTTTGTCGCCTCGTGGTGTCTGAAGGCCTTTAATGGCTGCTGACCAGTGACCACTGACCACGCACCACCAGGCCAATGAGCCGCATACTGAACGAGTTTGGAATCCGCATGTCTTTAAATGTTCGGTCCCAAATGGCTTACACGAGCAGAACACGACAAAGACGTGTTGTTCAGTCAACGCTCCGGAACCACAGCACAGCGACAGTTAATTGGCTTAATTTGATCGGAGTCGACTCAGACGGAGGCCGGGGATGTCACATTTTAAACGCACATCATGCAACCGTGTATTATGTGTAATTATATTTTACATTTTGCGGTCGCCTCCGGTTCTGACCTGCGGTTCAGCTCCAGCTCAATCAGACTTTATGACCAAAAACTCCAACCATGCAGTGGAATGTATGGAACATTTAACGAACTACAGAAGGACTTGTGTTCTTTATGGTGCCGCGTATCGAGGCTGATTCATGTTTTGAAACAGGCTGGGGTCGGATGTTTCCTCCATAGTTTCACCTGAACATCATCGCGGCAAGGTTAGAAGTTAAACTAGAAGTCTGCGACAACGAGGACTCTGATTGGTTCAGTTATGTTATCACTTTATGTGATTTGTACCCCACCACATGTCAGATTGTGCTTTTTACTTTACCTGACAGCTAAAAGCCCAGTTACAGCAGGAATAAAGTTACAGCACAAAACGACAATTCGTATCATACTAAACACTTTTTCCACTTTATCCATATATGTGCAATATTTTAACCAACAAAGTGCAATAGTCTAGCTCGCTGCTTACAGAAATATTTAGTGCTAAACACAACTAATTTTGACTTTTCTACTCTAATGTTTATATTTTTTATGGAACTTATATTGCTGTATTTCTATTGTTTTATTGTACTTATTATTTATTAGGCTTTTTTATTTTTAATTTTAATTTTTTTAAACTGGGACCTGAGTACTAATTTCGTACCACAAACATGTGAATGTGAGCTGACATGACAAATAAAGTTCCTTGAATCCTTGAATCCTATGTCCCAGCACAAAATTACTAAAGATCAAACTACTTTCTGGATCAGCTACACTTGTGGAAAGTAAGATAAGATAAGATATGCCTTTATTTATCTCACAGTGGAGAAATTCACATTGTTGATAGCAGCATTCAACAGAGGTACACATACGAGACAGGAAAAAAACAAAAAAATGTACATATAAATATAAGAAATAGGTAATAGGTAACCAAGTACTATACATGAAACTTCAGAGGGAAATATTTGACTTTTTACTCCACTTTAGCTACTAGTTGCTTTGCAGTTTAGGGTCATAGTAGAAAATATATTTTTGATCCTCCTGTGAGTACTTTTTGCTGAAAATGATTGTTTTTGAATAAGTTAGATTTGAATGCATCAGCTTGCATTGTGTGGATGCAACTTCTGAAAAACCAACACGGAGACAAAAGCATAGATGACAAGGCTTTGCAAAAACATAATAGTAAGAAGCAATAAGATAATAAGAAAGACGAGCCCCGGTGCAGATTTAACCCGATCCAGGAGTTTTGGGGTGTTTTGGACCCCAGACCATGTGGTTTAGGTGACAGGTATTGCTGTTAAATATAAAAAGAGGGACTTTTGTCGTGCATTTGGAAGCAAAAATACGTCAACTTATCAGAAAATGTATTGAACACAGTATAAAAGTCTATTATGAATACCAACCAGACCTCCTACACATGGCAACATGAAGGTCCTGAATAGGATTAATGTAGGTAAAGGGTGGAAAGGTGTTTTAAAAAAAGGTTTATAGCACTCATCAAAATGCATGTAGACACCCCAGCAGGTTTGGTCAGTGTTACACCCTGATCTGAGCCTAATGAAAGGCATCTTTGTGCTGCTGCTGGGTGACATGTGGAGGCTCCAGCAGGACAATGTGCTGCGTCGCCGGTTTCATCCCGTCAAGCTGCAGCTCCTGAATATTCATCCACACTCCTCAGGCTGACAATAAACAAGGGAGAGAGGCGGAATGCCTGTCTGAGGAGGCCAGGGGGCAGTTGGCAGGAGGGAGGAGGGGGGCAAATCTGCAGAAAAATGGGGGGCAAACAACCCGTTTCCATGGCGACAAGTCCTGCCTCTGCACTCTGCTGCAGCGGGCTGTGAGAGGAGAGGGGAGGCAGGAGGGCTTCTCTTTTTTCTTTTTTTTTTCTTCCCTTTTTTTTTTTTTTGTCGGTTTTGGTTGGAAAGACATGAGTCGGAGTTTATTGCGGAGGGCAGGTATCCGGCACAGCCAGCCAAAGTTTCTCCACGACGAACGGGATTTGTGCGTCGCAAAGGGATTATAATCTGAAAATGTCAGCAGCCATGGATGTGAGGAGAAACTCGGAGGTAAAAAGACAGAAAAAGCTTTTTGAACCGTTACTGACGAGGAAGTTTTATCATAGCGGTGAGAAACAAGGGGAGCGAAACACAAGCTTAAAGTTGCGTAAAGTTGGTCGTTAAATGTGCGTAAAAGTGTCTCCATGTGGCCATATTTGGTCATCGGCATGTTGACCGATGAAGTGCTGTAAAACTACAACAGCAGACGGTTTTTTTTCTTTCTTTCTTCCAGCTGACCCTTTGAATGAAGAAAAAAAAATGTCCCAGCGGATACAGGCTGTAAGTCTGTGGGCTGTAATTAGACCAAGTTATTATCGCTTAACCATCCAAAAAGTCAAACCAGCAGATAAGCAGAAACAGCACAGGACTGTGAACTGAGCTCCTTGTGTCCTTCTCCTGCTCTAGTTTGGACTGTGGGGGAGATTTTTTGTTTTTTAAGTTTTTTTTTGTCTAGAGATAAAATAACAAAACAAAAACCCACAAAACTTTAAATCTGCGTCCTGCATTGTGTCGTAGGAGAGGTTTATTACGCGCAGGTTTGTGCATGTCATGTAAGATTTAATGACTATTTAAGAACAAATATGTACATATATTATGTTCATATCAGTGAGCTTTTTAACAACTTAAACATGTATTTACTTGTTTTAGTAATGGTAGGCTTTTCATGCTGCCTATAATTTAACTTTAATGAGTTTTGTTTAATTCAAAATATTTGTGTTTTCTTGTTGTGGATACAGATCCAGATTCATTTACTTTCTCATAACCTCCTGCACTAACTGGACCCTGAGAAAAACCAGGTCCATGTGTCATGATGGTGTGTTTTGGTGTCGATCTTAATCCATTCATGGGTTATTGAAGTTTAGATTTTTGTAGCGGCGTCGGCTAAAGCCTGTCCTACTGAGGTCCTGGTAGCTCATGTATGAGGAGCTTTGTGTCTGTCTTGAATATGAGTTTTCTTAACAGATTACAGCCTAAATCCTGATGATCTTATCTGATTCAGTGTAACACAAACCCTATGGCTGTGACCGCTTTTCTATAGCTCTCCCTTTTTCCCCTTAAACTCTTTCCATTGTGCGGATCAAACAATGACCTTCCCCTCTCGCTGGACGCCACTGTCAACACAAAGCTATTGAGGAAGTTCTTCTCTGTTCTCCATTCAGTTGAACATGTGGGCCTGGCCTGTCACCAGATGCTTTTGCAGGGACCGTTGTTCACTCAGCAACGTCGATCTGAGTTTTTTTTTCCACCAGATAGTTGTATTGTGATTTGCTGTAAGGACTGCTCAGATGGTACGCTGGTATCTCTGAGAGCGAGGCTCTGAATCGACTGTTTTGTTCGTCCTCCGGCTGAATGCGACTCGGGCTTCATGTCTTTCAGATTGGGAGGAGTATTTCTGCAACATGTGGTTCTGAATCAAATCACAAGACCATCTGTCTCCCTGTAGCTCCACTAAAGTTAGCAACCGCTGAGAGAAAGCTTCCTTTGAAACCAAGAAAATCCACTTCCAGAGCTCGCAAACTCTCAGCTGATGTGCACACGGGCACAGAAATATGAAACGATGAGAAATTACAGACGTAAATTCTATTATTTCTATCTACTAAAAGGAGATTATATCAGTGGCTGGTTTCACATTCACACAGCTTCAAGGCTCACACATGATTTCTCTCCTGTGCTTCTGCTTCAGAGCGACTCTCAGGGCAGCAGGTACATCACAGGGCGGTCCAGACAGGTTTCAGGCACTTTAGAAATCAGGATTACAGACACAGGTCTCTCTCTCTGAAGGACCAAAGTGCTGGAAATCACTTCTCAGTGTTGAAATTGGGACCGCAACTAACAATCTTCTCCTCTTAGCTGTCGGCTCCACAAAATGTCAAAAAATTGTGAAAAATGTCGGTCAGTGTTTCCCAAAGCCCACGATGACGTCCTCTAATGTCTTGTTTTGCCCACAGCCCAAAAATATTCAGTTTACTGTCACAGACGAGTAAAGAAACCAGAAAATGTTCAAGTGAAGACGAGGAATTGGATACGGAGAAGTTGAGATTTATTCTCAAACTGACGATTATAATCAACAACTAAATGATTAATTGTTGTAACTTTGCTTGAAATGAACGGAGAACAGTTGGATTGAAGCGTATCAAAGTTTATTTTTGTTTGTCAGTTTCCAGCACTGCACCGTTTCTGAAACACAAGAAGACAGATGAAGAGTTTGTTTGCAAAAACAGATAACTCCATTTTTGTAGATTTTCAGAAAACGTATTTTTGTTGTTTGCCTGAGATGATATCAACCAAACTGAAGCTGAGTGGATTTGACTCAGTGGAAATGATAAAAGTAGAGATAACTTAAGTTTGACTGATGTCTCAGGTAGACGATGGAAAAGTTCTGAAGGTTTGTGTAGATGGAGTTATCTGTTTATGCAAATGAACTCTTCAAAGGTCTGTTGTGGGCTGCAGGTGTCTCAGTGGTTAGCATCGTTGCCTCGCAGCTAGAAGGTCGCTGGGTCGCATCCCGGTGAGGACACCCGGGATCTTCCTGCGTGGAGTCTCCATGTTCTCCCCGTGCAGCGTGGGTTCTCTCCGGGTTCTCCGGCTTCCTCCCACAGTCCAGAAACATGCTGAGGTTAATTGGTGATTGTAAATTGTCCGTAGGTGTGAATGTGAGTGTTCTTGGTTGTCTGTCTCTAAGTGTAGCCCTGTGATAGACTGGTTACCTGTCCAGGTGAACCTGCCTTCACCCTGAGTCAGCTGGGATAGACTCCAGCCCCCCATAGTGAGGATGAAGGTGTATAGATGATGGATGGATGTAAATGTCTGTTGTTGTTTTAATGACCACTCCGCCTTATGGAGGACACGAGAGCCTTGACCTGTTGTCTTCCAGCGCTGCCAACTGTTGACGCTTCATTGATGACAGTGAGACATCTGCCTCTGCATTTAAAAGAAAAACAAACCAAACATCTCATTATTGGTGTTTCTTGCGGTTTGTTCTGAAGCTACAGTTCAATTAGAAACAAGCTGGAATCCCCCATTAGACTGTATATTTAGTGGGTTTTGATGATTTAATGGGATTTTTGCACGTCATCGTCATCACCAAGTCAACAGCAGCATCCCATGAGATGTTCTGTCTTTAGTCATTCTGGATGTTAGCTAATGTACAACACAAGTGGTCCCGCATCAGCTTCCATGTCTGAGTTCAAACGCTGTCGGCTGCGTTGTCAGGTCTCAGAAACTTGACCATTAATCAGCGCGCAGGGACTTCAGATCAGAGAAATCCAGATCACACAAGTGAAGCTGAAGAATCTCTTCATGTGCCTGATTCATCTTTAACTCCATGGTTTCCCTCATGAGCTCACATCCAGTTATCAGTGATGCTAATGTGAACAATGTGGCGTCCAGAGGAAAGTCTGGAGGGAATTTCCAGTCATTCATTTTCCTCATTTCAAAGAATAAAGCGGAGCAATGACAGAACAGGTAATCTGACTCATGTAGTTTAACTTCACCACAAACAGCTCATAGTGTTATTTTTGTGCCCTACTTCCAACTAAAACTGCTTTGTCAAGGTTTGGGAAACATCGCCTTTAAAAGAATTGCTTCGATTTTATGACTGGCTGAAGTGGAAAAGAGTTTGTGTGAGCGTGGAAACTGATTTCTGAATAAGTTGTGCCTTTCCAGCTCCTTATCCCACTTCTGTATCTTCTTCCACTGTCTTCCTAATAAGTTGCATTACTCTGCTTATGCTAAGATTAAAATACCCAATATTATTCTAAAAGAAAACACACACACAGTGCTTATTTTAAAAGTCTGAACCTGCTTGAAGCTGATAGAAACCGACAGATGTGCTCATTTGAGAGAAAATGAGCAACAACATAGTTAGTCGAGCTAATCGGTGTTTTCGTTTACCTAAACTCTGACTTTAAGACAAGTGGCAAGAAAAAAAAAAACATTTTACGTTCTTGGAAAAGTCAGAGGCTTTTGTGTCGGAGGTCAGCGCTGCGACACAAACTCCGGCCCCCCTGCTGCAGCTCAGATGGATATAAGCCTGTTTTCCACATGCCTGCCTCTGCAGCTGTGCACGCTCATATCTAGGTTACACAGAAGGGTTTTTCCTCTTTTCCACAAAGAGAAAATATGCCATGATTACCCTGAGAAAGAAAAAAAAAAAAGCTGAATTGCTAAAAAAGGAGATAAAAAAAGAATCCGAGTATTGGTTCCACCTGGTCGATCGAGCTGCAGCATACAGCGGCGGCGGCGGCGGTACGGCAAACCATGTGGTGGGCTAATTATATAGGTATGGCTCTGTGCAACTGCCAGTAGCGCCGACCTTGGTGGTTTTCTTTTACATAGAGGCACACAGAGGCTGTTGTTGGTGCCCTAAACTGCTCTCCAGAGACTCTGATTCCATGTTTGGCCTATAAAACACGAGGCTGCGTATGTGTGTGTGTGTGTGTACACTTCATACATGTAGTGATTTCATGTGGACCGTCGTGTTTATTCTGCTCAGAATCAAAAGCAGGATGCCATTCTAGAAGATATTTGTGCAGCTCAGCTCCCACACTGCTCTGATTCCACTCCGCCAGCTCAAGTCTCTTTTTGTCTGTCGGGGACAAAACTGGTCTTTCTGCAGATACTGAAACAATGGAGTGGATCAGTGTGTGGGCTCATGCGCGCTCGTCTGCCAGTAACTTCTGACGTCTGGAAAGAGTTGAGAATTTGCAGAGATTTTCGCTCTTCCTCTCCCCATTACTTCTTGGCTGCCCGCGAGCTCTGAGGTGGTTTCGAAAACCTTGAAGTCAGGTTGCTGATCAGCAGAAATAGAGGAGGGGGTCAGCCAGAAAAAAAGCCAGAGAATTACAGTATTAGGTCCTGTTGGTGGAAGGTGTTGTGTGGAAGGGTTTAAAAAAAAGACGTGAAAGGAAACTCCGGTAGCAGGAGGTTAATAAAAGTTTCCCCGTCATGACATCAACAGTAAATTGTTGCATAAAGCCGCGGCGCTGTGCTCTGGGGTCGGAGTGCCA